AGTGAACAAACAAACACACACACAGAGCAGTGAGTAGTGAACAAACAAACAGAGCAGTGAGTAGTGAACAAACACACACAAAGAGCAGTGAGTAGTGACCGAACAAACACACACACAGAGCAGTGAGTAGTGAACAAACAAACACACACACTCTCTCTCTCTCTCTCTCTCTCTCTCTCTCTCTCTCTCTCTCTCTCTCTCTCTCTCTCTCTCTCTCTCTCTCTCTCTCTCTCTCTCTCTCTCTCTCTCTCTCTCTCTCTCTCTCTCTCTCTCTCTCTCTCTCTCTCTCTCTCTCTCTCTCTCTCTCTCTCTCTCTCTCTCTCTCTCTCTCTCTCTCTCTCTCTCTCTCTCTCTCTCTCTCTCTCTCTCTCTCTCTCTCTCTCTCTCTCTCTCTCTCTCTCTCTCTCTCTCTCTCTCTCTCTCTCTCTCTCTCTCTCTCTCTCTCTCTCTCTCTCTCTCTCTCTCTCTCTCTCTCTCTCTCTCTCTCTCTCTCTCTCTCTCTCTCTCTCTCTCTCTCTCTCTCTCTCTCTCTCTCTCTCTCTCTCTCTCTCTCTCTCTCTCTCTCTCTCTCTCTCTCTCTCTCTCTCTCTCTCTCTCTCTCTCTCTCTCTCTCTCTCTCTCTCTCTCTCTCTCTCTCTCTCTCTCTCTCTCTCTCTCTCTCTCTCACACACACACACACAGAGCAGTGAGTAGTGAACAAACAAACACACACACACACACACACACAACACAGAACAGTGAGTAGTGAACAAACAAACACACACACACACACACACACACACACACACACACACAGAGCAGTGAGTAGTGAACGAACAAACACACACACACACAGAACAGTGAGTAGTGAACAAACAAATACACACACACACAACACAGAGCAGTGAGTAGTGAACGAACAAACACACACACAGAGCAGTGAGTAGTGAACAAACAAACAAACAGAGCAGTGAGTAGTGAACAAACAAACACACACACACACACACACACAACACAGAACAGTGAGTAGTGAACAAACAAACACACACACACACACACACACACACACACACACACACAGAGCAGTGAGTAGTGAACGAACAAACACACACACAACACACACACACACAGAGCAGTGAACAAACAAACACACACAAAGAGCAATTGCGGGTTCGGTGCCTTGCTCAAGGGTCTCACCTCAGTTGTGGTATTGAGGATGGAAGAGAGCACTGTACATTCACTCCCCCCACAATCCCTGCCAGTATAGAGACCCCAACCCAAGCCCTTTTGGTTACATGTCCAACTCTCTAACCATTAGGCCACCACTGCCCGAATGATAGTGATTCCCTTATGGATATCCTGTTATACAGAATCATGGATGATATAAAATGTGTAAGACAGGTATTAAATGCTCTCAGCATCAAAGTCTGAATGAAACTGATCATTAAAACAGTGTTTGGAGAAACAAGCTTGACCCAAAATAACATGCCGTAAATCATGAGTGTCTGTTTTAGAAGAAATAAAGATAAATAGAGATTTAGTAAATAGTAAATAGAGATGTATTAACAAAGATGGCAAAATGATGCATCTGCTGTCTTCAGGTAAATGATGTGGAGTATGTTTGCATATTGATCAGATGCTTCAGTGCTCTGAGAGTGTTTATAGTGCTGTGAGTTTAACACTTCATCACTGACACACACAACAATCTTCATCAACATGACCTTCATCATCATCTTCATCTGGACTCTCACAGCGTTTGCTCAAGGTTTGTGGAGCACAAGTTTGATTTGAATTCATTTCTTCAAGTATATTGTCAGAGTTTTGAGTTGATTTTCTTCTTGTTGTGTGTTTCAGAGAGTAGAGGACAGATCAGCGTCACTCAGAGTCCCTCAACGACAGCAGCTCAACCAGAAGAAACAGTCAAAATCAGCTGTAAAACCAGCATTGGTGTGCATAATAAAAATCGTTTAGCCTGGTACTTACAGAAACCTGGAGAAGCTCCTAAACTCCTGATTTATTTAGCAAACACCCTCCAGTCAGGAACTCCATCTAGATTCAGTGGCAGTGGATCTATCAGTGATTTCACTCTGACCATCAGTGGAGTCCAGACTGAAGATGCTGGACATTATTACTGTCAGAGTTTATACTGGCCTGAGAGCATTCAGTGGTTCACACAGTGATAAAGAGTGGTACAAAAACTTCCGTCAGTCAGAGTCACAGTGATGAACTGATGCTGCAGCTGCTCAAACACTCACTCAACGGTGCAGAAACACAACACAAACGCATTTGCGACTGAAAACTACTGCGTGCGACTATGAAAACATATTTAGGAGCACCAGTGCGACTGACCCGATCATCATCATACTTGTGATTGCGCTCAGGAGAGCTTCAAAGGTTTCTACTTGTTTTTGCAGCGTTGAGTAATGTATCACAGACATTTATCTCACGAATCCTTTCATAAGCAAAGTGAGAGATTCGCTGATTATAAATGTGAGCTCGCGATGAACTAAGATGAGTGACAGCTTTTAATGATTTTTAAATCATTTAATATTTCTATATTCAAAATGTTATATTTAAAACATTAATATCATCATGAATGTATGGATTTAATTGCACTCATTCCACTTCTGAGCCTCATTAAACGTCTGAAAGTACATAAAGCCACTTTTGTGTTCTTCTGTGCCACCTCTACAAATTAATTTTGTTAATACTGATGTAATTTGATTGGTAACTTATATTTCTTATTCTACTTGTTCTTATTCTGTCATTTTAATTACAATTTTTACAAAGCTGATAAAATATAATTTTTTAAAGAATTTGACAGAAGATGACATACTTTTAATAAAGTTAGAGGAGTCAAATATCACCTCGTAATGGGAAGGCTACTTTTTGATAAAATTTTGTATAATTGTTTAGAAGGTGCTCCTAAAATTTTGAACGTGCTCCTAAATTGTTTAAGTTCGTAGCACAAGTGCTCCTAAAAAGAAAAGTAAGCGTAGAGCCCTGCATCACCAGCACATTAACTATATGTAATGAATAGTTTATTCATCATCTTCCATAAAACAGCTGTTAAGATCATACCAGAGAAACAAATTAACCAGGATTCAGTGCAAACACCACTGAAGTGACAAACCCTATTTAGCCATGATCAGATACTCCACCGGCCCAAAATCTGTCTGGTATACCGGTGTAAAGATTCACTCGTTTCCTCAATGTATTGATTAAAAATCCTGCCAATGAATCTGATTCTCACATGAGCATCATACAGTCATGACCAAAAGTTTTGGGAGTGAAATAAATTTTGTGTTTTGCAAAGTTTGCTGCTTCAGTATTTGAAGATTATTTTCCCACGTTTCTATACTGAAAAACAATTATAAGCGTATATGTTTTAAAGGATTTTATTGACAAAAAAATATATATTGAGTCAATATTTACAGTGTTGACCCTTGTTCTTCATAACCTCTGCAATTCGCTCTGGCATGCTGGATATTGGCTTCTGGGCCAAATCCTGACTGATGGCGATCCATTCTTGCCTTATTAGTTCTCGGAGTTGATCACAATTTGTCAGCTTCTGCTTGTCCACTCGCCTTTTGGGGACTGACCACAGGTTCTCTAAGGGATTGAGATCCGGGGAGTTGCCTGGCCATGGATCCAAAATTTCAATGTAATGATCTTCGAGCCACTTCTTTATCACTCTTGCTTTGTGACATGGTGCTCCATCATGCTGGACAACGCACAGATCATCACCAAATTGCTCATGGATCGTGGAGCACAAGTTTGATATGAATTCATTTCTTCAGGTATATTGTCATGTTATAATACATCGTGTACACTCACTAAACAAAGAGTGACAGCTTTTTAGTGGTTATGAGCACTCTTTGCAAGCTTTCTAGTCAATAATCCATTTAAAATGTAGTCTAGAACTTTGTTTTTCGGCCACACACACGTTGCAAAGTTTCGGGAAGGACGTCAGTATATTTATGCAGGATTCACTCTCGAAGTAGCAGCGATTGACATAGTGATAACCATAGCAACAGACTGGACAAAATATGTGAAAATGTGCATTAAGACTAGAGCACCCTCACTTATTTCAGAAACACCCTCAGTGATTATTTCTGGCACCTTTTATTGCAAAACTATATACAAAAACAACAAAATACAAATGCACAAAATAAAATAATTGAATAAATACATATTTACAATTTAAGCACTTAACTAAAATAAGTAGGCTATTAATAAAATAAATAACTAGAGAAGGCTGACTATAATCAGCTTGCTTCCATTTAATGAGATAACCCTACTCCTCACCTGAATTAGATAAAAAGCTCTTCGTCGTCAGTGATGCGAAGACAACGTTTGAGCGTGTACACGCAATATCTGAGCGAGAGCAGAGCCAATTCACAAAAGAACAATATTTAAAAGCACACGTCCAGTTTTGTGTGAGTGAAGGAAATCCGCTTGGGAGTGGAGAGATTCGTCCTCGCGCACATGGATCGCGTAACATCGAATCATTGACCGAAAATGCGTGCAGGTCCCCTACCCTCTTGATGGAGACCAATGCTAACAGGAGCAAAGTCTTCATTGAAAGAAACTTTAGCTCAACCGCCTGCCAAGGCTCAAATGGGCCCTGCTGTAGTGCCGCGAGCACTAGAGTCAGGTCCCAAGAGGGTATAGAGGGCGGCCGTGGAGGATTTAACCTTCTCGCCCCCTTAAGGAACCTGACGACCAGGTCATGCTTCCCCAGCGACCTCCCTTGTACGGGGTCGTGGTTAGCAGCAATCGCAGCGACATACACTTTAAGGGTGGAGGGAGACAGCGTTCGCTCCAGCCCTTGCTGCAAAAAGGACAGCACAACTCCGATCGGGCATCTTCGGGGGTCTTCTCGGCGAGAAGAACACCACTCAA